CCACCACCTTTCTTGACGTGACATTCTTCATTCCTTTCCAATGACTGGCCCTTCCTGACACCACGTTCAAGTCTGTGAGACAACCTTGGTTCTCTTATCTACTGCTGACAGTTTCTGGAGCTAGATTCCTCTAACAGGCACAGGTCACTACCTCCCCCGCGGTGTCACCATGGAGCTGCACCACCAGGTTCGGTAGGGCTGAGGAGTGTGAATTTCTAGCAAGTTCCAGATAGCACAGATGGCTGGACTTTGAGCCAAAGTCACTTTTTATTTCTTGGTATAATGTGTCAGGTGCTCAGCAGGCACCAAGGTTCAACAAAATAGACTATCTGTTGCATGTGCAGGGTTGGAATCCAGACAAATAATGTGCTTTTCAAATGATAAGAATACAGCTATAAATTACCTGTTGTTGTATTGCTGTGTACCGTAGAGTAAGAACCAACCCATAGCTCACCCTACAGCGGGTTTTCAGAGGCACGAGAGGAGATCGCCCATCCTTCTCCCACAGAGCAGCTGGTGGCCTCGAACCGTTTGCCTTCAGGATTACAGTGCAGCTTCTTGCCACTAGTCCACCAGAGCTCTCTATAAATTACCTAGGGTCCCTAAATGATGCAAAAGCCTAATAGGACACTTGGTTGTTACCTCAAAGATTGAAGGTTTGAGCCCACCCAGAGGTGTCTGACAAAAAAAGCCTGGTGATCTATTTCTAAAAAACAGCCACTGAAAACTATGGAGCACCTTTCTACTCTGACACACATGACGCTGTCATGAATCAGCGAGAATGAAATGGTAAGTTGTACCTTTGAGTAGCATACCAAAAGACAGATGGAAGGACTGAACCATCGAAGAGTCAAGGAAGGCTTCCTAGACAATGTGGTCCTTGAGCAGAAACCCAGAGAGTCCAGTGTGCAGGAGAGAAGGGAAAGATCAGGTGCTATTGCAAAATCACAGGCCAGGTAACTTGGTGAGACAGTAGGCGCCCACAGGTCCAAGAGAAATTAACTTGACTGGAACCCAGTTAGGAAGACCTGGTCAGTGAGCCCAGGTGCTCAGGTCAGACCCAGGGTCCTTCCTCCACCCACTGGAGGCTATCCCTAAATTCAGCTTCTATGAGCTCTGACTTTTCCTTCCTGCACTGCAGGCCAGGATCATATTTCCACAAGTGCTGGTAGCAGGTCTCTTGAGACACACACACACACACACACACACACACTCTCCCCTGCCCCGTGCAGCTGGTAGCCACACACCTCCTACTTGGTTCTTGACCTTGACTACCTGTTCCCAGCAAACAAAGCTGTGCTTGAGCACACATTAAAAGGGGCAGGAGCGTATACTGCATTGAAGCCAATGAGGGAGAGAACAGTTTAAAAGCAATATATTTTTGGGCATTATGATTATCATAAGAGTTTGGAATGAGGGCTGCAGAATGGAGTATACTTAGGGGGGGGAATGGGAGGGTTTGGGGGGATTGTATGCCAATGAAGGAGTTTTTCTTTTGCTTTTCAAGGAGAAGAGCGAACTGGAGAGTGGGGGGTTGGGGCAGGGAGAAAAGTGCAACAATGAATGAATGGAAATCCAAAATCTCTGGAAATGTTCATTGAAATTAATTTTAAAAAGGGGGAGGTGCAGAAGCAGGAGCGGGTCTCTCTCTCCAGAGCACCTAGCCCCACAGTGTGTCCAACAATCTGGCCCATAAAGCATGCCCCTTCTTTTTTTTTTAAATTTTTTTTATTATTATTTTTTTGTGTGCATGTACCGTCAAATCAGATCTGATTGGTACAGGAGGAGATTGCCCCTCCTTCCCCGGCAGAGCATCTGGTGGGTTTGAACCGTGAGCCTCCAGGATTGTAGTTGCAGTTCCTTGCCACTAGGCCACCAGAGCTCCCCTAGCATGCCCCTTCTTGCTTACACATGTTGTTTTTGTTGTTATGTGCTGTCTAGTCACTTGCAACTCACAGCAACCTTATATATAACAGCTCTGAACCCTGTTCTATCCTGAGCCAACCTTACTGTCTCAGACAAACCTACCCCCATTACTTCAATCACTGAGTCAATCCATCTCATTGAGGGTCTTCCCCTTTCTGCACCGTCCCTCCACCCTCCCAAGCATAATGTAACTCTCCAAGGACCGGCTCCCCCCTTGTAATATGCCCAAAGTATGTCAGATGGAGTTTTAGAATCCTTGCCTCCAAGGAACAGCCTGGTTTCACTCTCTCTGGGACAAATCTGTTTATTCTCCTAGCAGCCCATGGTATATTCAATATTCTTCTCCAGCACCACGGCTCAAAGGCATCAATTCTCCTTCTTTCATCCCTAGTCATTGTCCAGATTTCTGATGTATAACACATAATTGCAAAGACCATGGCCTGCATCAGGCACATCTTAGTCTCCAGACTGACATCATTGCTCTTAAATACCCTGGAGATGACCCTGAGAGCAGACTTTCCCAATGCAATTCTTCTTTTGGTTTCCTAGCTGCTGGTGCCAAGAGTGTTGATTGTGGCATAGTAGTTGTTATTTTTACTTTTTTTTTCTTTTTCCATTTTATTTTTATTTTATATTGGTTTTCATACAAAATTCCTATACATTGTATATCATTCATGTATATTGCATATCATGCATTCCTGACACGTTGTGTTTCAAACAATTGCTCATGTACATTGTGTTTTATAAAATTAATCACCACTGATCTATGGCTACTATTACCTACCTTTTCAAGTCCGCATTGGATCTTTCCTAATTCCTTCACCTCCCTCCTCCTCAGTACACCAGTACTCAGTACTCTGTTATCCTAGTGAGTTAAAGCATGCTGGTGGCATAATTCATAGGAAGATGTGGGACTAACCCAACGGCCAGTCTAGTAGTTCAACTCCACCAGTGGCTCGGCAAGAAAAAGAGGAGCAATCTCTTCCCAAAGTACAGCCTCAGAAACCCAGTGGAGGGTTAGCTGAGTTCATTCTGACTGGACGGCAATACATAAATAAATAAAAAGAAGTAAAACTCATTCCTTTTACCACACCAGTTAATGCTGTTACCCTCTCCTCCACATTAGGGTTTTGTCTATGTCTTTAGGATCCAAGGAAAAATTGAAACCCATCAAAGAGTTAAGCCTGGAGATCATGCTACTGGATTTGTGTTTCTATATTTCTTTCTGATTGCAGCATTAAGAAAAGGCTATTAAGGAGTGAGGGCAAGAGTCAAGTGAGGCACCACAGAGGAGAAGAAACATGATATGCAGCCCTATCATCCACGCAGAGCCTGGAAGCCAGGAAACAGCTGTGCACACCACCCACTCTCTCTAGCTTTGGGGCTCATCATGTCCAGAAAGGAGGCAAGGGTCTCTGGGTCCCTAACACCACTGATGTGCACTTACCTCAGGCTATGCTTACAAGATAGAGAATTCTCAGATCTCCACCAATTTTTGCATTAAAAAAAATCAATGAATGAATGGAATTCCAAAATCTCTGTAGATGTTCATTGAAATTAATAATAATAATTAAAAAATTTTAAAATAAAAAAAAGATCGCTGCCAAGCGTATTCCAATTCTTCTTGATGCTGGGTGATGTCAAGTTTCCAACAACTCATAGTGACCCTGTGAACAACAGTGCTGAGCCTTGCCTATCTTGTGCCATCCTCACAATGTGCATGCACCATCCTCAAGTTCATTGTTTATACTCACTGTGTCAGTCTATCTTGCTGAGAGTCTTCCTCTCTTTCTCCGACCCTCTAGCTTTCCTAGCATGATGTCTCTTTCCAAGGACTGGCTTCTCCTGACAACAGGCACAAAGTACATGAAGTTTCACCATCCTTACCTATAAGGAATACTCTGCTTGCACTTCCTCCAAGACATACCTGTTTGTTCTTTGGCAGTCAGTCCATGGCATTTTCAATGTTCTTCTCCAACACCACGATTCGAAGGCATCAAGTAAGTCTTCAGTGTTCCTTTTTCATTGCCCAATTTTCAGATACATACAAAGCAATTAAAAATGCCATGGCTTGGATCAGACACTTCTTAGTCTTTAAACTTACTCTTTAGGACTTTAAAGAGATTTTCGACAGCAAAGTTCCCCAATTCTTAGGGATTCTCTAGAACACCCCACAGGATTGCCAAGGCTGTAAACCTTTCTGGCAGCAGCTGCCACATCTTTCGCCAGCGGAGTAGCTTATGGGTTCAGTCAGCTGACTGTTCAGCTGAGCAAATAACCACTGCACCATCAGAGCTGTTTATCCTCAAAAATCAAAGCCAAAACGTTCCACTGCCCACTCTTTCCCTGGTTGACTACTGTGTTTCTCTCAGTTTCTTAACGTGTGAAATCCGTGGTGGTTGAATTGATGTGACGATATGAGGGGGATCATATGGGTCAGGCATAAGGGGCAGAGAGCACCAGGGGAAAAGAGATGCAGCATCTAACAGGGTCCCTACCTGACCCTAATCCACCAGACAGCCCTGAGCATCCTTGCCAAGGGCAGAGGAGATTCTTGACCAGGTCATGGAAGGAGTCTGATGAGCAGAGAGGACCAACGTCCAGGGACCCAAGCCAGCTGTCTCCCTTGAGTCTCCAAATGTTCATGCTCATCAGCATGACACATGAACATGCATACACACACACACACACACACACACACACACACACACACACACACACACACTATCTCCTTGGACTTTCTTGTGGGCAGATACCCAGGGACTAGCATCTGGGAGAGCTACAGGCTCCAAGGGACTGAGCCTGTGCAACCCCCAGTTCTGCTACTTAAAGGTGAGATCGACCCTGTGGCTGTGAATCATCACAACTGTGACACTCCCTTCTTCGCACTTCACTGGACATTGAGTGCATCCATCAGCCCCAAGAGCAGCTCCAGGCAGGAGCAGGAGATTGGCAGGCTGGGCAGAACTGCTGAGAGTGGGGAACAATGGGAAAGCTGGATAAAACTAAAACCCTGCACTTCCCCTGCTGCTGACTTCTCTGTGAGCTTGAGAAAAGATCACCCCAGCCACAGAATGAACCTTCCTTGGGGGGCAAGAGTTCCATCAGGCCTTGCCCAGGAACCCAGCTGCCTGGCTACCACATCCTCAGCCAGCAGATGGAACAGCTCCTGGACCAACACCTCCAGCCTGGGAGAACTTCCTCCCAGCAGCCCCACGGTAAGCTCAGGGTGAATGTGTGCACGGACAGAGCCCTCCTGTTTCCCAGTTCAGTCTTATGGCAAACAGGGCCTCTGACCTGGGTGGGGAAGGTCTGAGGTCTTCTGTGGGACCCTGAGTCTCCTATACAAAGGGAGTGATAAAAGAATTGCAGGCAATATCCTCCCTGTGGAGGTCAGCCCTAAAGGATGCGGGGCTGAAAGTGTACTTGTGCCAGGTCTTTGAGCAGGTAATGAGATGTCTCGTGGATCCTTCTGGAAAGGAAGCAGAACAGTAAGGTCCTTAATAATATTTATTCTAACCTTTTCATCTCAGAGGGGCTTGCAGTGCTCCCCACTCCATCATCCTAGGCAGTGCCTTATAGCCAGCATCCCACCACCCTCAATGTGACATGATGAAGAACACTGAGGGCACCCTCAGACTCTGGGAGGTACACCCTCCCTGGGAGTTACCTCAGGCCAAAATAAGATGCGCCGGCTCTGGTAGCTGCAGGGACCAGGGGAAGCAGAAACCAGATTGCTCCTTCCCTAGCAAGTGGAAGCTCTCCCATCCCTCTGTTCTATCCCCATGGGGGCTTCACTTCCTTGCAGTAACCCTGAGAGAGGCAAGCTTTCTTTATAAAGGGGATTCTTTTCTCCTCCCTCAAGCCATATGTCAAGGAAATACTACAAGGTAGAATAAAGGCAATGTCACTTTTGAGGTTTGGGTGCTGGTTAGAATTTTAAGCAGAAAAGCAAGCCCACTCTTCCCGTTACCTCCAAGTCCAAGATACCTTGAAGATCATGGCTTCAGTCTTGGGCACGTGGGATGGGGTCCATATCATGGGGAAAGAAATGCACAGAAATAGACTCTGCTTTTGTCCTAGGGAAAGGTAGGGTCATCACATCCAGGCCCTGTGTGCCAGGCACACATGTGTCTGCCCATCTGGGCTTTAGTTAGTGAACTGAGCCACCCCTAGAAGTCATACCAATCTGTGTCATGAGGTGGCGGCTGCAATTTCTAGCTGGCTCAGCCACTTGCTCGCTTTAAGGGGGAAACAATCCCACCACTCTGCGAGCCCTCATCCTTCCTTCTCAGGAGTTTTAAAGGTGATAAAGGAAAAGACATCCTTGCTTTTGTCTCTCCACAGGTAGCTGGGGCTCGGACTGCTGCCGGGGTCCCCCACCCCACAGTTGATGTTCCAGACCATGCCCACTACATCCTGGGCTCCATGATCCTGCTAGTGGGGCTCACAGGGATGATAGGCAATCTGATGGTCATCTATACCTTCTGCAGGTGCCTGCTGGTGGGCTGGGGTTGGGGCACAGATGCAGGGCAGATCATGACGGCAGGAATTCGGGTGTCATCTCTTACCACAGTACTGTTGAGGTTGAACAGGGGAGCCAGGCCACCCCTCAATGACTGCAGGCCCAGGAAAGGCAAGCCTGAACACCTCAGACTGTTGAACCCCAAATCCAAGATACTCAAGTCTCTGCCCTGAGCTCATCTCTGCCATCAGCTGGTCTGTGGCATCCTCCCTTTGACTTGAACAGAAGCCCTGAGCACCAGGGTCCTGAGTCCTCAAAAGCTTCCTCAGGCTGCTCACTGTGCTCCCCTGAACGACTGAGGTAACAGGTGGGAAAGGGAGCCCAGGCCCCACTGCCACGCTACTCATGCAGGGATCTGAGGCAGTCCTGTCCTCTTTGAGCCAAACTTTCTCAGCTACAACACAGAGTTTGGTTATCTTTTATGGAGTTCATGGGATGATTAGGGAAGTCCTTGTTTCACAGTGCTCCACAAGTGAGGGTCTGAATCTTAGCTGTTCTGCTTAGTTTGTGGTCTGGAGCAAGTCACTTCCCAGGTGGAGCACTGATGTTCTGATCTGGAAAATGGGAAAACAGAGCCTTTCTCAGGGTATATACGAAGATGGATGATGAGAGGCGAGGTTTGTGTAAGGCCACACTGTACACAAGGCCCATGTGCACCAGCACTGTTCTCCCCTCTCTGTTATCCTTAACAGTGCAGAGTAGGGGATAGCTGTGCTGAGAAAGGGCTTGGCAAACCAGGGGAACAGAGGCACAGCAGGCACACCCTAACAGAGAAGCCCCCCCACAAAGGCATTTGTCCAGAGAGACTCAGGACAAAGGGAGTTTTGTGTGAGGAGTGAGTCCACATCAAGCAGAGAAAATCATGGAGTGAAAAGAAGAAATGGACACAACTCACGAGCCAGTCTTCATGGGGCCTCATAGCAGCTCTGCAGCACACTGCTCTCTACCCTACCTCACTCTGAGGGAGTTACTCCCAGAAGACAAGGCATGTTGGCTGCTCAGCTGGCATTTGCTGGACAGCCCATGTCCATGTACATACATGCCCACATGATCATGCGTGTCAATGTATATGCAGGTGCATGTGTATGTGTGAGCTGTGCCTCTGTGAATGCACCTGTGCCCACATACATTTGAGTATAGGGGAGTGTACGCGTGTGCTTGTGTGTCTGTGTGCACGTATACATATCCATGTGTTCTTGTGTGCCTGTGTGTGAACTCCCAGCAGAAATACCTCCCAACAATGTCTGACCCCTCCCAGGAGCAGAGGCCTACGGACACCTGCCAATATGTTCATTATCAACCTTGCTGTCAGCGACTTCCTCATGTCCATCACTCAGGCCCCCATCTTCTTCACCAACAGTCTTTATAAGCAGTGGCTCTTCGGAGAGGCAGGTAGTCACCCGGGACTCCCTTTTGCTGGCAGGAGGAAGAGGGTTGACCAGGATATACCCACTGCGTTCTTCCTGGGCAGGGTGTGTTTTGCTCCTCTCAATCACATTGCCTGTGAGGACTGGAGATCCCAATGTCTCTCTCAGCCTCTGCTAGAGGCAGCAGGTGGGCAGTGTGGAGGAAGCCCAGACTTGCTTTCTGGGCAGGGAGGGCAGATGCTCAGCATGCTCCATCCCCAGACCCCCCCTCCTCTGTGCCTGATGGGCACCCTCCTGAGGACTGATGTCAGGGACTCTGTACACAGGCTGCGAGTTCTATGCTTTCTGTGGGGCTCTCTTTGGCATAACCTCCATGATTACCCTCACTGCCATCGCCCTGGATCGCTACCTGGTGATCACACGCCCACTGGCTACCATTGGCGTTGTGTCCAAGAGGCGGGCTGCACTTGTCCTGCTGAGCATCTGGCTCTATTCCCTGGCCTGGAGTTTGCCACCTTTCTTTGGCTGGAGTAAGTTGTGGGGTTGGGGGAGTGGCAGGAAGTCTTGGAGGGGCAAGTTCAAGGGCATGTAGATGAACTTGGGCCAGTCAGCTGACAGGAGGAGGCAAGGAACCACTTTTTGAACCTCTAGCCACATAGACAACAAGGGGCATGACTCCCAGCAAGGGAAACTGAGGCTGTGCAATGAGGGAATCTGCGAGGAAGACCACATGATGGGCTCATCATGAGTCAGCCTAGGCTAGATGTTGACATGTGAGCCTCAGTGTGAAGAACCAGAGCTTTGAGATGGGACCTAGAAGCTGGCTGACTCATCCTGGGGAGTAAGATGATGTGGCGGTGGTGAGGTCTGTGCTCCAAATTATCAGGCAACAGTATCTGCTAGTGCCCCTGACAAACCAAACAGAAAATCTCCCCTTGCCATGCCTCAACTGCCCTGGCACCTTCACTGCACTGATCAGGGCAGGCCTGGGGCCACACACTAAGCTCCTGGGGAGCTGGCTGGCTGGAACTCCAGGGCTGTTCCTGCTCCACTCATTGCTTGCCTTGGCTCCCAGGTGCCTACGTGCCAGACGGGTTACTGACTTCTTGCTCCTGGGACTACATAAGCTTCACGCCCTCGGTCCGTGCCTACACCATGCTCCTCTTCTGCTTTGTCTTCTTCCTCCCCCTGCTTGTCATCATCTACTGCTACATCTTCATCTTTAGAGCCATCCGGGAGACGGGCCGGTAAGAATTGGACCTAGAGAAAACCTAGAAGGGCTGGTAGGGACCACGCACTTCCCACAGGGCCGCCTCCAGGCCCACCCAGTGCTCAGCAGGCAAAGGCAAGATGGAGTGGGGGGAGGTCTTTTTAGGGACCTGGACACTTCAGGAGTCAGAGAAGATACCACGGTGAAACTGCAGGAAGCTGGTTTGGCTCAGTGGAATGGAGAACTCTCTGGGAGTTAGGGCAGCCTGCACCGGAAGGGATGATTCCCCACAGGGAGTCATCTCAACAACAGCCATGGATGTATGGTAACCTGAGTGGAGAGAGACCCAGTGTCTCCCCACCCCAGGGCTCTCCAGACCTTCGGGGTCTATGAAGGTGCCAGCGAGTGCCCACGGCAGAGGCAGAGGCTGCAGAGTGAGTGGAAGATGGCCAAGATCGCCCTGCTGGTCATCTTGCTGTTCGTGATCTCCTGGGCCCCCTACTCCACTGTGGTTCTGGTGGCCTTCGCAGGGTGAGTGGGGGCTATGGGGCTGACTCTGGACCAGAAGGGAGGGTAAGCCCGAAGTCATTGTCCTTGCACCCTAAGTCCAGCCTCACAGTTTTATTCCCTGCCTGGTGGCAATGCCCCACTCTAGACAGAAGCACACATTAGGACACATGCTTGAGTGCTCTGGGCCATGACCAGACCCAGACTGTGGCTGAGGGCTGCCATGTCCCGTGAGACTCCTTGGGAACGTGCATATTTCCCTGTCTTTCTGATTTTCTCAATGTCCAGGATGTGGGTGCACAGCCAGGGATACTGCTCACCCCAGGAATGGATCCCTGAGAGCTCACACTGGTCTTCTGTGTGGAGTGGGAACTGCAAGCCTGTGAAGCCTAGATGCAGGCTGAACTTGACAAAATCTGAGCCAGTGAGACCCTGTGAAGTCTCCATAAGAGAGTCCAGTGAACGGGAGCATCAAGATGGGATGGCTGGGGCAGGCATGGGGTCGCTGGACAGAGGTCCTGAGGATCAGCTGCAGTGGTGGAGATGCAGGCATCCCACTCAGGCTGTTCCCAGCACTTCAGGCTGCAGAGAACAGTGAGGCTTCAAAACACATCCTAGCTTAATCCTTCTTCCTTCCAGCGGCCCCACCTCAATCACTTGCAGGTTCCCAGACAACTTTTCCTTTGTTTAAACTCGGATCTCTCTAGACTGACCAATCTCCCCATGGGCGTAGGGGAGACTGAGCTGACCTGGCCTGGCCTGGGCAGTCTGTCTGGCAGGGACCGGCCCAGAAGGAAATTATTCCTGAAGAGGGTGGATAGGCCGGCTCTCCGGAAGGCCAGCCAGCTAAACGGTATTTAACCTTCTTGTTTCAGATACGCACATGTTCTGACACCCTACATGAATTCCGTTCCTGCAGTCATTGCCAAGGCCTCTGCCATCCACAATCCTATTATTTATGCCATCACCCATCCCAAGTACAGGTACAACTCTCCTGCAGGTCCCCAACCCACTGCCCCCAGGCCCAGCCTTGTGAATCTGGAGATTTCAGGCGTGCAAACAGACACCAGAGACAGGCCATCTTTTCTGTATCTGTGGCCTAGTGGCAAGAAGCTGTGTTGCAATCCTGAAGGCATGCAGTTTGAGGCCACTAGGTGTTGTGCAGGAAAAAAGATGGGCAATCTCCTCCCGTGAGATTTACTGCCTCTGAAAACCCAATGGCAGGTCAGCTATGGGTAGGTTCCTATTGAATGGTAAACAACACACAACACAACAATGTATATTCAGGGAGCTCTGATAGCTTAGTGATAAGGAAATGTGCTGCCAAGCCAAAGGTATGTGATCCGAATCCACGAACTGTTCTAAAGGCAAAAGATGGGCAATCTCCTCCTTGCTGCCTCTGAAAACCCACTGGAGGGCCATCTATGGGCTGATTCTGACTTGATGATACACAAGCACAACAATGTCCATTCAGCAGAGACATTCCAGTGACAATGATGGAGTCCAATCCACATCAGGGTCCTGGGACTGGCTGGTCAGCAGTGCTGTCACCATCTGGCAGAGAGCAATGATCTGCTCAAAAAGCCCTGGCAGGAGGCTGGAGGAGGTGACCTTGGTGTGCTGTCCTCAGCAGCGGGGCCTCCAGTGCTTCCCTCAGCCTGCAGGTGTCAGTAGCTCAACACCCGCACTAAAGCCAGCCTGGGCCAGAGCCAGTGGAGCTCAGACACTGCTCAGATATGCCCCTGGCCCCATTCACAGATGGCCTCGTCTCATGAGGGCTGTACTGTTCCCTCCGCTTGACTGAGCCTGTTGTCCTAAAGCTCTCCCTCCAAAGCCAGTGCCCTGGTGCCTGTGTCCAACTCTTGTCTGCCAGTCTCCCTCACCCTGGCATCTATCTGTCCTTATCACCATCAATGACCCCAGCATCTTTCTTATTATCCCAACATCTGTCTGTCCTTTTAAATTTCATGTCTGAGTTTCTCATGAGCTCTCTATCTATCCCAGTAGGCTTGATTCAAATATGTCTGTCCTTCATCACTTTCAAGGTCCCCTCCCAACCAGCTGTCACTTTCCCACAGAATGGCTATCGCTCAGCACCTGCCCTGCCTGGGGGTACTACTCTGCATGTCGGGCAAGCACACGCGCCCATACACCAGTTACCGCTCCACTCACCACTCCACTCTGAGCAGCCAGGCCTCTGACCTCAGCTGGATATCCGGATGGAGGCGCCAGCCATCCTTGGGCTCTGAGAGTGAAGTGGTAAGGATCTCAGGACCTCATACTAACTGACCTGCAATCACTTTCCTCAGCAAAGTCATCCTTGGTGCTCCAGGAGATGCCTGGCCTTAGGCAGGGATGCCGCTAAGACTGTTTGCTACATGCAGAACCCTGGACCCCTGAAAGAACAACCTTTTCAAGCATCAGCCTCACCCCCAGGCAGCCCACTGGAACCAGAGAGGGCAATGGAGTCACCTGAGGTCCCCAGAAATAATCCAGGACTGAATACAAATCTCTTAATTCTAGGCCAGGTCCTTTTCCACACAGACCCCTCTCAGTATACACACACACATACACACACTGCCACACACAATTCAGCCCTCCTACACATCTTTGTCATGTCCCTGTTCCCTTTCTCTCTCACACACATGCTTTCTCATCCTCAAACTCTATCACTCTCCCATATCCATTCTCTCACATACTTTCTCCCTCATAAATGCTTTCTTTTTCTCTCAAATACTTTCTTTTACTCACTTTCTTTTACTTTCATACACATGCATGCATACTTTCACTATCAAATACATACATTCAGCTCTCTCTCACACATACATGTTTTCTCTGTCATAAACCTACTCTGCCAACATGCACTTTCTCTCACATATATACTTTTTTTCACTTTCTCTCTCACAGACATCCTCTTATCCTCTTACAGACGTATTCTCTCTCTCCAGTCCCCTCCCGTCCCCCGCCTCTCTCACACACACAGCTTGCAAAGATTTGGCTACCAGCAACCCTGAGCCCTGTATCATGAGCCCCATCCAGGTGAATAGTCATAGAAAACGTGGAAGAGGGCTTTGAAAGGAGGAAGGGCAGGGCAAGATTTCTGCACCTCTCAGTGACTTTCTGACCTCCCCTAGGGTTGGATGGACACAGAGGCAGCAACTGCTTGGGGGACTGCCCAGAAAGTGCGTGGACAGTTTCCCTGTGGTGAGGACCTCGAGAACATGGAAGCCAACACCCCTCCCAGACGCCAGGAATGGGAAATAGAGATCCTGAGGAAGGTGATTGGGCTAGACCCCTATCAGTATGTAAAGAAGCGGGGGAGATGGGCAAGCAGCCTGGAGAGTGGCCAGGAAAGGTGGGCTTGTTTGCAAGGACAGGCCCAGTGGTCTCTGGGAATCACACTTCCCAACAGCATACCTTCCAACTTCCCCATGGTTGCCAGAGGACTTGTGTGACTCCAAGATGCTCTGAGCAAAGCCTGAGTGTGTCTGTAATGTCATGTGACTGTGACCGCTTGTAGGAGGTGTCATTCCTGACTGTATTGTACTATGACAAACATATGGCTTGTGTAAATGTGTGTATATACTGCTGGGGCTGTGCATCTGTGTGACCACTGGTAACTGTGACCCCTCAGGGTATGTGACTACACATGCCATAGTTGGCCTTTTCTAAGCTGAGTATGTGAACAAATATGAATGATAAGTACCTCTCTAGGTGGCTCCCAGGCCAGGGCTGAACATACCTGCTAGGGGTCCCAGTTGGGGTGAGGAGGGAAACAGGAACCGTAAACGTGTAACTGTCCCCAAGATCAGGATATCACCCAGCATACTTGTGCCTATTAAAAGAAGGCCAGCTGTCAGGCCAAGTGCCCATGGGAAGGAATGTCAATGGTGATTAGGGAAGGCGATATTCTGGAACACTGGAATACCACATGCAAAAGTCCCCAGGGCTGCCCCTCCCCCTCAGCTGACAACTCCGTCTTCCTCCTCCACTCACACCCACACAACACTGGCTCATCCAATCCGGTCCTGGGCTCTTGGGCTTCCCCACCTCAGGACTGTAGGCATTTTCATACCCCCTTTCACTCCCTTGAGTATCCCAGAGAGGGCACCACAAGGGTTGTTTCCCAGAGAGAGTGAGGCCCATTCCATGCCTAGCTGTGGAGTCTGTGCGGCCCCCACCCCACCCCCACCATTTCTGTTTCAGCTAGTTCCAGGGAGAACTCACTCTCCGGCCCTGAGCCCTGAGCACTGTGGACGGCCGCAGAGGCCTGGCAGCAATCCCCAGGCTGGATGGGATGATGGTGAAAGACGCAGTGTCCATCCTGAAAGAATTCCTGGGCTGGAGGGGGGGAAGGACAGTTGTCACCAAATGTGCACGGCCAACCAGGTATGAGCATACAGGATACTAGAAGCAGGAGCACCTCCCCAGGGTGGGCTTTCCGGGGACAGGGAAGGTGAGATTGTGGTTTGCCAGTGGGAGCAAAACAGAAGCGAATGTTGCAAACAAAGGAAACAATCTTGTGCAAACCCAGGAAGGCAGAAAAGAACTCAATATGTCTTGAGGCAGAATGTCAACCTGTGACCCTGGAGCAACCAAAGGGACCATAGGAGGTGGTGGTGGGACACAGAGGCCAGCAGTGTGGGGCTCAGGGGAAGGGGGAAGAAACCACAGTTAGTAGGAGGTGTGGAACCTGATCACATAGAATCTCAGGTGTTGACGTGAGAGGTCTCCCAAGTCCCAGGGATGATTTAAGTAGGGGAGGGGTGTGGCCAGCCTTGCTTGGCTAAGACCTTCCACAGGGCTGATGGAATGGGAGGTTGAAAGGGTTGAATGGAATTGGCCTGCCAACCTGCTGGGAGGAGACTGAACGAAGCTGGTGCTGCAGGGCAGGGAGGAGAGGCTAGGCTAAGAGAGAGTGAAGGATGTGGAGAGTAACAATGAGTGTGTATTTAGGTTCTGGAGGTCTGGAGGGCAGGCACTGAGATGGGACACTTGAGAAAAGCAATGGGAATTTAGGGAACTTCCAGGGACAGATCCACGAGGACTTTTTTTTCTTTTTTGGTTGTGTACCATCAAATCCAATCCTTCTGGCACAGGAGATTGCTCCTCCAATAGGACTTTGAGGTATTCCTGGCTGCATTGCACTCGAGGAAGAACTGTGGTGAGGACACTATCCTCAGATTGCCTGAGGTCTTCAGGAGAATCCATTCTTGACCCAGGATATGATCTGGCCCTTCCATATCACCCACCTTAACCACTCAGTGCCCTCATACAGGTTTCTCGGGAGACTGTTTCTGCTAGGATAGTCGCTGGGCTAATAAATATGTGCTGTTTGTTTTCAGACCAAGGGGCTGCCCTCCACCTTGGACCCCAGAGCATAGAATGGCCTGCTGGTTCTCCTTTTCCTCTGGAACACATCAAGCCCCTCACACACAGAGACCAGGAGTTTCCTGTCAACCAACAGAAATATTCCACAGAACATAAATAACCCTGTAGCCACACTGCCTGGACTCATGGCTTCTTGCCATTTCCCCTCTCAGTAACACCAAATTCCAACTCCTGTAATGCAGATTCATCCATGCTCCTCATCTCAGCAGTTAAGGTGACCAGCTTAGCAAGAAAAGTGTTTCCTGCCTGCCCAGTTTCCATGTCTCCTCCAGTGCTACAAGGTGCAATTGCCCAGCTTATGGCTACAGTGGTGGCTCCATGGGACATGCCTGGTGGATGGGACAGGGCTCCTTGTCAGGCCCTGTGCCCAGCTGCAGGCTCTGCTGGCACAGCAGGGCCAGCTGCTTTCTCTGTTGCAGTCTGAACTGAGCTTGAGCTCCACACGCTGGAGACTGTGGCTCACCACTGACCTCTTCTCCACAGCATCACCCAGCACACAGTTCTTAGGTGCCCACTCAGGCTACATGTACACTGAGCACTTGTGCACACATTTTCCCTGGTATGTTTCAGAGCAATGGTCCAAGTTTTTTCCAAGGTTGTGTATCTCTGAGAAGGGTATGAAAATAAAAAGCAAAGATCTCCTTGAACAAATGTGGTCTCTACCTTTCAGTGCTGTGGAAACCAGCACTGACCTTGGATGCCTCCCATGGCTTTTCTGCCTCCTACATCTGTCCCCCACCTGGAACACAGCCTTCTGAATCTCTTGATCTCAAAGTGCAGGGAACAGACCCAAAGAGAGATGAAGACCACTTTCCAGTGAGCTGCTGTGTCCTCCTGCCCAGTCTATGGGTACCCAACTTGCTCTCCCACTGGCTGCTTCCATGGGGCTTGATAGTGGATCCAAGTAAAATTCAATTCTTGACAACTCCTTGCCTATGAATCTCCCAGAAGAGGTAGATAGAAGGAAATGGGCTTTGCCTCTCTTAGAGTATCTTCCCCACTCCTCCCCTCCATTTCTCCCGAGATCAGCATCAAACAGTGCCTGAATCCAAGAAAAAATCTGCAACTCCAGGTCTAGCTGGGTTAAACCCATTGTATCCCCTTCCTGTAGAAGGTTTGTTCCCAGGCTACTCAAGGCCCTGCTGCTAGATCCCACCTGGCTTACAGAGCAGGATCCTCCAAGAAAGAGGATAAGGCTGATATTAGAGATAGGATGAGGTAAGGATGTGATCTTGGTAGGACAGGGATTGGTTTGGGGAGAGACAGAGGTCTCGACAACCAACTACTGACCTCCAACTCAGGTGAGAACTGAGAGGGCAGGCTGGCTTGTATGATCCTGGTCAGAGGAATAGAAAGAATGGTGTGCATGTAAAGGACACTGGTTCATCTCTAACTCCTTCCACTTGACATTGTTATAAACTTGGGACAGTTTCTTGGACTCCCTGAGCGGCTGTTGTGTTGTCAGGTGCTGTCAAGTAGACTCTGGTTCATAGTGGCCCTGTGAGCAATGGAACAAATTCCCCAGTCCTGCCCCATTTTCACAATTTCTGCTGCACTGAAGCCCTTGCTGAAGCCACTGTGTCAATCCATCCAGTGAGGGTTGTCTTCTTTTCTGCTGCCCTTCTACTTTGCAAAGGAAGGTTTGGTGCATGGCACCTTTTTCCAGAGACTGGCCTCACCTAAGAACACATCCAAGGTAGTTGAGACAAAGTGTCATCATCCTCATTTCTAAGGAGAATCCCAGCTTCAGTTCCTCCAAGATAAATTTGATCTTTTGCTAGTCTGTGGTATCATCAATACTCTTCACCACAATTCAAAGTTCTTCCATTTTCTTATTCACTGTCCAACTTCCATATGCATTTGTAGCACTTGAAAATACTAAAGTTTACATCAGGTGCACCTTAGACCTCAAAGTTGTCTCTTTTCTCTTTAGTACTTTTTTCTTACCAATAGATAGTCAATTTATTAAAATAGTTGATATAGGCATGTGCAATGGTGCCTTCCACCTCTATTCAAGGCTCAGTGCTAATGGAGGTTATCTGCTTGACAATCTCAGAAGGGCTGTGCAAGTCAATGAATCACTGTGAATCCTCATCTGGAAATGATCCCAGGTCTTAGAATCTGCACCACAAGGAATCTTCCTTATAGTGATTCTCAGGGTCTTGGTAGGCATCCTAACCAGTCCCTTCACCTTGAAGTTCTTCTCCTTTGTGCTTCTGATCATGTCAGCACACACTATTTTCACGGGCATCTTCCCATTGTCCTTAAAAAGCCAAGGCTGGGCTGTCAAGACTGCAGAACTGCTCCCCTCCCCCCTTTTCCCAGCACTCTTGCTCCCTCCCCCCAGGACAGCTACAGTGACGATCAAAGCACCAGCCGCAACTCAGCTTATCTCTGTTAGAGCTGCAGAAACTGTCTTCACCTCCCTTTCCCAGGATTAACTATCTGCGACCCCGATTTGCTCCCTTATCTTGTACCAAGCAGCTGCGAGCATCTTAATTCCCAATTTCCTTGTAAGACAATGTAAAACTCCACTGTAACTTTAAGTGGCTGCTGATCTCTGCTTTGGAGGCAGCCCAGCACTTTCTCAATAAACTGTCTTTCTTGGCCTGAACTGGGTCTTACCCTTCCTTGGAGACCTTACTTGGGCATCTTTCAGGTGTCTTTAAAAGCCATTGCTGCGTGGCTTCCTGGGTGATTTGTTCCCAGGGAGAGCAAACAGTGAACAGCAAACAGCAGTGAGTCAGGAGCAGGAGTGGGCAAGCAAAGCAGACCTGCAGCAGTAGCCATGTCTTCCTCAAAGAGTTCATTGTTGTTGTTCTTGTTCTTGTTATGTGCTGTCAAGTAGCCTGTGACTCATAGCGACCCTAGGTGCAACAGCCCTAAAACCTGCTCTATCCTGTGTCAATCTCACTGTCTCCAACAAACCTACCCCCATTACCCGAGTCATTAACTCAATCCATCTCATCGAGGGTCTTCATCTCTTGTGCTGTCCCTCCAGCCTCTCCAAGGACTGGTCCCTCCTTGAAACATGTCCAAAGTATGTCAGACAAAGCTTCCGAATTCTTGCCTCCGAGAGGCAACCTGGTTTAATCCTCTCCAGGACACAACTGTTTATTCTCTTAGCAGTCTATAGTGTATTCAATACTCTCTCCAACACCACAGCTCAAAGGCATCAATTCTCATTCTATCATTCCTAGTTGTTGTCCAGCTCTCTGATGCATAGTAAGTAATTGCAAAGACCATGGCCTGCATCAGGCACACCTTAGTCTCCAGACTGACATCATTGCTCTTCAGTACTTGGGTGAGATCTCTGAAAGTCTACTGTCAAAGAGCTCTTTAGCACTTGTAAAAGGTTCTTAGCAGAAGATTGCCTAATAACAATACATAATTTTAATTTCTTGGCTGCTGTGTGCATGGCAGCTATGTCGTGGATCCAAGTTAAGTGAAATATTTGACAACCTCAAATTTCCCCATTTATCACTATGTTTACTGAGCCAGTTGTGAGGATCTGGAGTTGGTTGTGTTTTGTGGAGTTGTTTGGGTTTGTTTTGTTGTTGTTGTTGTTGAGGTTTAATCCATGCTGAAGGCTATATTCTTTAAGCTTTATTAGTTAAATGTTTCAAATCTTCACTTCCAGAAAACAAGATTGTGTCAGTTGCACACTGCAAGCTGTTAATGAGTCTTCTTCTGGTCTTGATGACATGTTCTTCATATAATCAAGTTTATTTGGTTATTGATCAGGATTATTTGCTCAGCAAACTGAATAGGAAAAAAGAAAGGCTAAAACTATGGCACACACCTTTCACGATTTTTAAACTATGTCGTATTTCCTTATTCTGTTCAAAGACTGTCTCTTCATCTCTGTAGAGGTTCTGCAGGAGCAGTAAATATTCTATAATTCTCATTCTTCACAAGATTGCTTATGATGTGTTATGATCTATACAGTACAATTTTTTACATAGTCAAAAAACACAAGTCAATATCTTTCTAATGTTCTCTGCTTTCAGCCAAGATCCCTCTGATGTCAACATTGATATCCTTCATTCCAAGGTCTCTTCTGCATCCTGCTCGAATATCCTTGTTTATACTGAATATTGACATTGAGGCTCCAGCTGTTTTTAATATTCTTTGTTTTCCTAATCATATATTCCTTTTTTACATTACTTGATTATTTTTCTAATTAAATTTTATTAATTTTAATGAACATTTACAGAGATTTGGGGTTTTCATTCATTCATTGTTGCACTATTTTCTCTACCCACTTCTCCAGTTCATTCTTTTTTTTCCCCGCCTTGAAAGTCTGTTTTAATTGTCCAATTGCCACAGTGCTTGTCAAAGCCAGTTCTGATTAATCTCCTTTGCCAGTGTGTCCTCTGCCATTCCCTATCACTCCTCTTGAGAGAGACTTCACCCTGATTCATAAGGAAAAGGGGATGGTGTATTCTCTTAGCTACTTCCTGCTGAAAAGGGACGCTGTAGGTTTCAGGGTGAAGATCTTCTCTCACTACTCT